ACACACACACACACACACACACACACACTCTCTCTCTCTCTCTCTCTCTCTCTCTCTCTCACTCACTCACTCACTCACTCACTCATGTATCCAAACTTATGTAAGAGATGGGTCATGATCTGACCCTAGGGTTGACTAACCAGTAAGCACGTACGCTTCCCATCTGCAATTCCGTATACGCGGCAGGGTTCGGCCTGCACATAACTCGGGAATCCAGCAATCCTCACTTGCCTCGTTTGGATGCGAGGTAGCAATACTAATAGTCAATACTCCAAAAACCAAAAGGTTGCATATGTCCTATGATTGGTAGCAAAAAGGAATTTCTCCACTCTAGGCCCTCTAGTTAACGACAGTCCTACACCGTCGTTTTGACCTACTCCTCGGCGAAACACGGGTTGCTCATATCACGCTCCACAGCACAGCAATACTCTACCTCGTTAGTAGCAGGATCATCCCCAACCCCAACCCAAAGCAAGTTTTCATTTGCGTCTTTTTTTCATACGGCTCCCCAGGTATCTCAAGCTCGGGCCGCGGTACACCAACACCGAGCCATTGCTTACTCCACGTTCTGTTATCTGGTCTTTACCATGATGGACATGCACAGCCCGGTTGTACCACCCCGCATTCGATTTGTGGGCTGAATCACAGCAAGCGAGGTATAACTTGCAGATAACAACACCTCGGATAACGACGCCTCGGAAAACAATGCCTCGGATAACTGCTCTAGCATTCTGATAGCAGTCTCGCTAAAGTCTATTACTGCACATTTCTGATCTTTCGTTACCAGGGTCATGCACCAAGACGGAACGGCACGTTTACTTTTATCAGAGTCTTGGTAACACTGACGGAGACATGTAAGCCACAGCCTGGGCATCACCGATGGAGGTAACACACATCTTCATCGGAGAGTGTGCAAGCACAAAGGTTATTTCAGGACTCTGTCAGCGTTTGTTTGTGTATTGTGACACCATGTAAGTCGTAGTAATTCTCACCCATACATGAAAATGTTTCTCAGCCACGAACAAAGAACAGAGAGTAAGCCAGAGGGATTTTTTGTCGACGAGCTACTATACTAGCATGGCGTACCATATACCATCTGACCTGTCCATGCTTGGTGTGCCCGATAAATCGCTCATATAAATGCGTGCCAAGAAACTCACTTTTGAAAAGGAAATTCCCTCGCTTGGTACTTCAACCCCATTTCCATTTCGTCATTTTTTGATCATCACCGCTATTTACAAACTAGTGAAGCAATCTCAAGACTTTTACTAGATCGGCAGTGACACCCATGGCTGTGACTTCTCCGCCAGCGCCCGCACCTTGGATGATCAGTGGGTTGTCGCCATATCGCTTGGTGTAGAAAGCGATGATATTGTCACTACCCTTTAATGCCGCAATCGGGTGACTCTTGTCAAACTTCTCAAGGCCAACCTTGACATTGTTGCCCGGCACATCGACGCTTCCGACAAAGCGAATGACTTTGCCTTCCTTTTCTGCATCTGCCTTGAGCTGCTCCATCTGATCGTCGAACTGTGGCAGCTTCTCCAGGAACTCATCGCCGGAAGAGCAGGACTCGAGTTCCTTGGGGATAAGTGACTGAACGGGGAATGAAGTTGGCGATTCCACCTTGAGGCCAGCCAGACGGGCGAGAATGGTAAGTTTGCGAGCGACATCCAATCCATTCAGATCGTCGCGTGCATCTGGTTCTGTGTAGCCCTTTTCCTTTGCAGATGTGACTTCGGCGGAGAACTTGCCGCCACCTCCGCCTAGCGGCTGGAATGAGTTGAACAGGAAGCTCATTGTTCCGCTAAAGACACCCTCAATCTTTGTAACTTCGTCGCCCGTCTCCACCAGGTCCTTGAGTGTTGAAATGACAGGCAGTCCTGCACCGACCGACGACTCATGGAAGACGTAGCCCCCAGCGCCGTTGCCGTTGCTTGCAGAGTTGAAGATCTGTGTCCAGAGATCGTAGCTTCCGGAGAACGCCTTCTTGTTCGGTGTGACGATGCTGATGCCCTTTTTCAAGAATGTGGGATAGCTATCCGCGACATCTTGGCTGCTGGTGTTGTCTACCAGGACCACCTTTCCCGGTGCCTTTTGTAGGTATTCGCATAGCTGTGGGAGAGGGAGAGGCGGACTCGAGGCGTTTTGCAGTTCAGACTCCCAGTTTGAGACAGACCTGTAGTCTGTATGGTATACGGCCTTCTTAGAGGTGCTGAGCCAGATGAGAGAAAGGTAGTATGGCGATGAGGGCGATTGGGAGAGGCGCTTGGAGAGGGCGGATAGTTGGGAGAGGAAGGTTTTGCCTACTCCACCAGCACCTGGGAAGCTGTTAGTGATACATGTTCGAGTATAGAAAGTGAGGTAGCTGACCGATAACGGCGATGAAAACTTGACGAGGAAGAGGCATTGTATGTGTGTTTGTGTATGTGTTTCTGTAGTCAATCAATCTTGCAATTGCACAACGCAACAAAGATATAGCAAATTTTATTCAAGGCGCGAACAAGTTATGAGTCTTCACAGTATGAGGCTCAGTTAGTTGCGGAACCGCGCATTCAGCATTCAAACGTGGGGTTACGCGAAATAATGAGTGGGGTAAGCGTAGTGACGCAAGAGGCCAGGACTCCACCGCCGACATCGCCTCATCCCTACAACGCGCTCCACACCCCAAACACAACACACATGTCATCCAAGGACGCCCATCTCTACGACGCACGTCCAAAGGGACGCGCCAAAGCAAAAGAAATCTCCGGCTCGAGCAGCCTCGCCTTTGCGTCCACGCTTTCTAATCTCATCAAGGGCTCGTTTGCCGAATCCAATAAGCCCACCGCCGGCCGCGCGCGACCACAAAAGGAGGACATTTTCAAGACACACAACAAAAACGTCAAGAAGCGCGCGCTCAAGGACCTCGAAGATGCAGACTTTACACAAAAACACCGCGGCCGCACCGCCGAGGAAAAAGGCGAGGACGAAGCTGCCTGGAAGCGCACAAAGCGGCGAATGGAAGAGAAAGCCCGTCTTTACGACGCCCTAAAGCGCGGCGACGTCGAAGACGCCGACGAAAAATACGGCGTAGATTTCGATCGAAAATGGGCAGACAAGCAAGAAAAAGGCGAAGCCTCCGCCTCATCTTCCGAATCCTCAGACGACGAAGAAGAACAAGAACTAGTCGAATACATCGACGAATTCGGGCGCACGCGAAAAGGGACACGTGCAGACGCCGCCCGCGAAGAACGCCGCAAACGTACTCTCGCCACCGACGAACCCGACCGCTTCACCGCGCGCCCCAGCATGCCCAGCACCCTCATCTACGGTGACGCCGTCCAAGCCCAAGCATTCAATCCAGACGCCACCATCGCCCAGCAAATGGCGGAGCTAGCCGCCAAGCGCGACAAGGAACTCACTCCGCCCCCCGACCTGCATTTTGACGGCCGCGCAGAGGTTCGGCAGCGCGGTATGGGCTTCTTTAATTTCTCGAAGGATGAGGAGGAGAGGAGGGAGCAGATGAGTAGGATCGAGAAAGAGAGGGAGGAGACGGAACGGGTTAGGCGGGAGAGGGCGAGGAGGGTGGAGGAGAGGAAGGAGATGATTAGGAAGAAGAAGAGGGTGATTTTGGAGAAGAGGAGTAAGGGGCAGGCAGAGAGGTTTTTGGATGAGCTGGGGGCGGAGCTGTTTAAGGAGGGTGAGGATAGTAAGGAGGATGAGGGAGATACTGCGAAGACTGGTGATGAGGAAAAAGGGGCAAAGAAAGAGGACGCGGTGTAAGGACTGTTTTGGTTTTGTGCTGGATACTATGATACCCAATATCTAATCTTATTTGCATATGAATTCAATCGAATGTACCCTCGAAAATGGAGAGATCTCGCATCCATCTTTCAAACTCACAAAAGCACCGATTTCCCCAGGCGGGAGAGACTATAGATTCAACAACTATCTCACATGCCCCCCCTCCCCCTTCCTCTTCTACACCATTTAGGGGAAAAAAACGATACGAAAGAAAACGCCAATGAATGCAACTCTCCCCCC